CTAAATTACTTCTTCTACCTCCCTGCTCCTCAATTCCCTTGAAATGCCATGCCTTAAAATGTCGTTCCTGAGTCCTCACCCATCACTAATAACCTATAACAATCTATCATTAAATCAGTTCTTTTCCATCTATTTTGCTCATTACAAGTTGTCAATACACATTTGTTTACTTCCTAATGCCCAGCCTTTCCTACTAGATTGTAAAGTCTCTAGAGGCAGCAACCTTGTTTGTCTCTTCTGTTCACTACTTGATCACTTAACAACTATGGCGTTCCTAGAATATACCACGTGTTGAATAATTACTTGTTACAACTCTACTGGTTGCTGATGGCTTCATAGTTCATTATTCCAGTTCTTGTACAGTCCTACTATAATTTCTGTGGGAGAGTTTCCTATAGTCTTATATTCAGAACCCTCTTATTTCAATAATTTGAGTAGGTTTCTGCTCTTATATTCAATGATCACTAATGGATGCAGCTTTTAAAATAAGGTGAGGCAGGTGCAGTGGCATGGCTCACACCTGTAATCCCAGCACTTTGGGAGGCCGAGGTGGGCAGATCACCTGAGGTCAGGAATTCAAGACCAGCCTGACCAACATAGAGAAATCCTGTCTCTACTAAAAATAGAAAATTACATGGGCGTAGTGGTACATGCCTGTAATCCCAGCTACTTGGGAGGCTGAAGCAGGAGAGTTGCTTGAATACAGGAGGTGGAGGTTGCGGCGAGCCCAGATGGCACCACTGCACTCCAGCCTGGGCAACAAGAGTGAAACTCTATCTCCAAAAAAAAAAAAAAAAAGGATAAGGTGGTCAGCAATGTCACATGCTGTTGAATGGGAAAGAAGGTTAAGAGCTAAGTAAAAAGCACTGGATCTCATCACTGATCATCTTTAAGCCAATAGTGTCCATAAAATACGGCCAAATGGAAGCCAAATTACAACTAAGTTAACAAGATGGGTAAGAAGGTAGATGCATCAATACAGAATATTCCTTTTAAGAAGTTTAACAGTAAAAATAAGGTATGATATAAAATGGGATATTGGGGTTCAGCAGAGCCAAAGAAAGTACATGTTGGTTTAGTTTAAAAGAAAAGAGAAGAAATGCCTATTGATATGCCCATAAGCCAAAGAAGCCAAAGGAGAAAAAAAAAATCAAGAAGTATTTGAATGGGGAAGAAAATTAATAGATTTAGTTTCCATTATTAGCATTAGAGGATTTGATCAAGAGCACAATGGTGACAAAAAGGCACAATGTTCCCTTCTACTACAGGAAGGAAGGAGGATAAGATGTCAAAAGTAAGGTAAAGTTTTGGATAGATCAAAGGGAGATTGAGTGTGGCCATTTCAGAAGGTAGCAAAGTCATCTACAAACCAATTGTCTAGGAGAAGAATCTCTTGAAAGACTTTTCTGAACCATACTTCCAACCCTTCATTGCATCCTTTACCTCCTGCTTTCCACTACCACCATAGCAGAGACTCACTGCTGCAAAAGGCCATGATGGCTGATATAAGTGTGTCTTACTTCTTAGATAGTGCTATGGTTTGAATGTTTGTACCTTCCAAAACTCATGTTGAAATTTTTTTTTTTCTTTCTGCTCCCACCCCCTCACGTTGTAATTTAATTGCCATTGTAACAGTACTAAGAGGTGGCACCTTTAAGTGGTGATTAGGTAATGAGGACTCTGCCCTTATGAATGGATTATTGCCATTATCAGGGGAGTTGGTTCACTATTGCAGGGGTGGGTTCACCCCCATTATTCTCATTCTCATTCTCTCTCTCTCTCTCTCTCTCTCTTACACCATGTGACACTCTGCCATGGGATAATGCCACAAGAAAGACTTCACCAACTGCTGGCACCTTGATACTGGACTTCACAGGCTCCAGAACTGTGAGCCAGTAGGTTTCTGTTCATTATAAATTACCCAGTCTGTGGTGTCATCATAAATTACCCAGCCATTGGTGTTCTGTTACAGCAGCACAAAACAAATTAATACAGGTAGGGTGGAGTAGAAAACAGTGTAATCCGTGAAGAGAAAGATGGTGAGAAGGGAATATCGGGGTTGAAGAGCTCTGGCATCATGAGGAATATGACAAGGAAACAAAACTGTATTTTCCAAACCTGTCAGATCATCAGGCATATCTGAGGCCCTTGCTAAAAACACAGATTTCAGTCCCCTTTCCTAGAGAGTCTAATTCAGGTGGCCTGATGGTGGGAGGGTTAGGATTGTATAATTTTCAACAACTTCCCCAGGTGATCCTTATGATCAGGCAAATTTGCAAAACAATAGATTTGAAATGAATAAAAGTTTACCAAGTATAATTGCAGGCCCCAAATATTTTCTCCATGTTCATCCAAATAAAAGAAACATTCATACCTGACATCAATTTGTGGAAATTACCAAAGAAAACAGCTTTTAAAATTCTACCTGTAGAATTTTTTTAGAAAAATCTAAGAGGTTTATTCATTTTACATGATTGGTAACTAATTCTATCATTCCAAATAATCTACAGTGACATTTAAAAATATAAGACTAGATTATGGATATTTCTTTATTATAGCAAATTGAGGAGAAGGGAAATAAACCTGACTGGCTAACAGTTATTATTTATAATATAATAATGAGTCAGATATTTTAAAGCCTGTTCTGCTTCTAGTTTGCTTAGTTCCCAGATTAATAAACTAAACATATTAAAATCTAAGAATGCAACTTGATCTTATCCTTTCCTAACATTTTAAACAAAATCTTGAGCACACTAGCAGAACAGCAGTATAGATTCAGGTCCCTGAAAAATTTCTTTCCACTTCCTCCCAGAAAAAGTGATTTGTATTGATACACAATAGTCAAAGCTCAAACTACTTTCTGTGACCACAAAGCCCCGCTAATTTGTACCAGTTTTTCTCCTTTCTAGTTGGTCCTGACCATCAGGCATAAATTAGTGCTAAATCAATATTAGCTGATACTTCCCCAGGTGTGGGAAGTGAGGAAACCTAATCACATGAGCAAACACGGTGCTTCCTGGCTACATTTAAAATAAGGTAGTTATTATTATACCGTGTGAGAAAAAGAATTTTTTTTTGTTTTTTTTTAAATCAATCTTATGCCACCTCAATTTGTATTAACTTGATATAGTGATATCAGTCAGTCATTAGTTAGAATCCATTTTTAGTTATAGATTCCCTATCAACCTTCATACTTTTTTCATTCTTTCATGGGGCATCCTCTTGCCCTTCCCACTTCTTCTCACCCCCAGCTCTGCCATGTGCCTTGCCCCACACCCTTTTTCATTGCTAGTACTACTTACTTAAGAGGTTGAATGGAGGAGCCCAGGGGAGTAGGTTTACATACCTGCTTTAATTGCTCACCTTGGGCGGAGCAGTGTCCTAAATAAACTTTAGTTTTGCCATAGCACCATTACTCAACAAAGCATTTTTACAAGTGTCACTTAATAACACAAAAATAAATAAGGCACTTAAACTTGTTATTGAGGAAAGAAGCTTTAGCCACCCACTTTCTGTACTCAGGGGCCAATCTCACTTCACTTGTTCTTAGAAAACTCTTAAGGAGTTTTCTTTAAAGAAAATCAGTTAGAGCCTAAGTGCTATGAGCCAGGTCTAAGCACCTTTACCATTGAAAGGATTGGTTCCTTTGTTACTTATCAATGACAAGGAATTCTGTCATTTTCTCAATACTTTCCAGTCATGGCTATTAATAGAGTAACTATGTACTCAATGGTTTCATAAATATCAAAAACATATATGTTTAGTACTTAGCCATAGATGGAAACAAACGAATATTCAAAATTCCAAGGAAATAATGTGATTCTGCATGATTTTCCCCCCTTCTATTTCCTGGGTTTTATAGGAACTTCACAGTACTTTTAAAGCACTTTCATATCTATGACTCTTTTGTTATCACTACAACAATTCTGTGACGTTAGAACGTGTATGCTGTCTCCATTTGACAGATGGGGAAATGGAGGCCCACAACTGTGAGTGGGGTCACAGATCACACATGAGAGACTAGAATTAGAAGGCAGTTCTTCTGATTCCTTCACTATAAAAATTGGGTGATTTTTTCCCCAGTGTTTTTTCTTCACTATAAAAATTGCCTCTGTAGCAAGAGCCAGGGATGTAATTGAGAGGCATGGATCTTTTCCACCTTGGTCTTTGAAAGACCTGTGAACTAATAGTGTATGCAAGAGAGGATACTTACTGCCTAAGAGATTGATTACCTACATTCAGGGCAACCCGATGATGCACCTTGATAAGAGAAGGGCCTGTCTAAAGGTCCTAATTTGTTTTAAATATCCAGAGTTCCTGATAGGAAGGCACGGTGTGGTAATTATATATGTAACTTTTGGCTCATCATCTCCATATCCTCACCTTCAGAGATGTCTTTCAAACATTGATAATTACAGCTTTCAGAGCCAAAGCCTACAAATTCATAATCCACACAGATGACATACTGAAATCTACTCAAACTTACAAATCTGAGGACAATTTCAGCACTGCTGGATTTACATTAAGAGAAAACTGCTTTATGTCATAGCTATACTTTATCACAAAGATGTGTCATGGTTTCACCTTGATATGAGGAAGTGCACATAAACTCATTCTCCTCTAAATTTAATCAAAATGAACAAAGCAAGCAACAAAAAAGTGTGTAGATAATGCCGTAGGAGTAAAACTGACTCAGATTAATGAAACCAACTTGAAACAGTGAAGGAACTCCTTTAAATAAGATAAAGAATCAGAACCAAGAAATACGTATAGCACAGAAAAGCAGTCATCCTTGTCATGGTGGCCTACAAGTACAACCCAAGTTAATTACATCTTTTAAAGTTCTTTTTAAAGATTTAAGCCAAGCGTTGTGGCTCACACCTGTAATCCCAACAAATTGGGAGCTTGAGGCAGGAGGGATTGCTTGAGATCAGCAGTTTGAGACCAGCCTGAGTAACATAGTAAGACCCCATCTCTAAAAAAGTAAGTTAAAAATTTACCAAGCGTGGTGGTGCATGCCTATAGTCCCAGCTACTTGGTAGCCTGATGCAGAAGGATCACTTGAGTCCAGGAGTTTGAGGCTGCAATGAGCTGTAACGGTGCTAATGCACACCAGCCTGAGATTCCATCTCTACAAAAAAAAAAAAAAAAAAAAATGGAAAGGAAGAAAGAAAGAGAAAGAAAAGAAAGAAAGAAAAAGAAAGAAAGAAAGAAAGAAAGAAAGAAAGAAAGAAAGAAAGAAAGAAAGAAAGAAAGAGAGAGAGAGAAAGAAATTAAAAATATGAATCCAGCAAGTTCTTGCTATATGGGTATCAACATAACAATATATAAGGTGTACTATTACACCACCATCTCTATCACCAGCCAGAGCAATTGTAATAAATCCTGCCTAATTTGGGGTCTCACAATGTAAGAAGGTCTTAGCATTTAATAAAGATTTATGAATGTACACTCTAGAAAAAGTCAAATGATTTAGCTTTATTTAGCTTGCAGAAGTTCAAGGAGTAGTTAGTCACGGACTTCAGGTATATTTAGTGGCATAGCTATTGGTATTTGGGGATTTTTCATCATAGAAAGAACGTAAGGAAATGTTAAAGATTTAAGAGGAACCAGCCTGACGAACATGGAGCAACCCCGTCTCTACTAAAAGTACAAAAATTAGCTGTACGTGGTGGTGTGTGCCTGTAATCTAAGTTACTCAGGAGGCTGTGGCAGGAGAATCACTTGATCCCAGCAGGCAGAGGTTGCAGTAAGCCAAGATATCGCCATTGCACTCCAGCCTGGGCAACAAGAGTGAAACTCTCCGTCTAAAAAAAAAAAAAGATTTAAGAGGAACAGGGTAAATAAAAGCATACATTCAGCATTCACACAGCTATGCACTTTTTGTACATTATCTCATAGAATCCTCACAGATACCCTGCAAGACTAATAGAAAACAAGAATGAGAAGGTAGAAAAGTCAAGGTCAAAGTCAAAGGTCAAAGTCCTTTACCTGGTATTTGACCTTAGAGTCTATTTACTTCCAAAGCCTGCGCTACAAGACCAACTCACTGTAATGCTACATTGGGCAGTGTTATGAAATATTCTGCTCTCGTTAAATTCAAGAATGGTTTCTAGAGACATATATCTAGGATAGTGATATAGTCCTATCTGAAAATAGAAAAATGGACTATATTCCTCTGAGGCTACCTGCAGCCCTGCAATTTTAGATTAAAATTCAGATCAATAGAGATTTAGTCGAGGGCTTTTACTGGGCACAATTTTTTTAATCATTAAAGATCTGAGGCCTATAGCATGAGTAAGACTTTAGCTATTTATATTTAAGGTTTCCTCCACCTACTTAAATATCCTACATTAAGAAATTAGTCTAACAGAGTATATCCATACAATGAAATTTTGTGTTATTGTTAGAATTATGTGGAAGATATTTAATGACATAAGAAAATGTTTATGATATGTTATCAAGTGAATCAAAAAAACAGAAAAACCAAACTTAACTGTAAAGTGTGTTTATAACTGAATTTAATATATATTTACATATGCATATATAAAAACAACTGAGAGAACACAGTGAAAACATTAATAGTGGTTCCCTGTGGTTACTGGGATAAAGAGTGACTTTTATTTTCATCTTTGGGCTTCTTTACCTTTTTCTAAACTGAATATGTCCTACATATATTACTAGAAAGAATGCTTTACACATACCACACACACACATAAAATAATTTTCTTCAAAGGTTTTAAAATTTAGAATAGAATAACATTGTATTAGGAATGAAATTTTGTATAGGGTGAGGAAAATTTATTAAATAGCATAGAGCTCACCGTTAGCAGCAAACTGTCACTCTTCCCAACACCAGAAATAAAATTGGCCTTTCATATAATTTCTTTCTTTGTTTTTTTGAGATAGGGTCTCACTCTGTTGCCCAGGCTGGAGTGCAGTGTCACAATCATGGCTCATTGCAACCTCTGTCTCCCAGGCTCAGGCGACCCTCCCACCTTAGCCATCTGAGTAGCTGGGACAACAGGTGCACACCACCACAGCTGGCTAACTTCTGTATTTTTTGTAGAGATGGAGTTTGTCCATGTTGCCCAAGCTGGTCTTGAACTCCTGACCTCAAGTTATCCACTTGCCTCAGCCTCCCAAAGTGCTGGGACTACAGGTGTGAGCCACTGCACCTGGCCATAATGTCTTATTATGCCAAAACTATCATATACAACTACCAGAATTCTTTTAGCCCTTGCCTAAAACCCTCTACTCAAAAGATACACAGAAGACACACAGCTAAGCACATGAAACAATATGTATAAAATGAAGATAATAATCACACCTAGCTCATGGCGTTCTTACATCTTAAGATGTAAATAAAATAATACTTTTAAAGCTAGGCCTAGCTCAGTACCTGGAACATAGTAAGCACTCAATTAATGTTATCTTGGTAGTTATGTTCTCATTGTTAGCTAAAGAACAGAAGAATTCTACAAAAAAAATGGTTATTGATCTAAGAATTTCCAATCAGCCACCTGGCACACATACTTCATTTTAAAATAGTCTTGCAGTTAATGTAGATGGCATCTAAAGGAATGTTTGACACATTGTAATTATATAGCTCATTTCATTCTCCATACTTATCAAGGTTTTAATGAGTAATGAAAACAGAAAATGAAGCCATAATATAATTCAATTTTTTAAAATAATTTTTCTTATGTTTATATTACCAAAAAATGTTTGCAATATAAAGAAAATGTTAGGACTTGATAATTACAATGGTATTTGAATTTTTATTTTATGTAATTATTTATTTATTGGCTTTGTCTCTCTGAAGATAATTTTTTATTTTTATTTGTGATTAAAAGCACCTTTGAATTTAGCTGTCTTTTACTATAATACAAAGAAAAAGCACATCTAAGATTCATTCTTCTTTGCAAATGTCATTGTCCATTTGGGGACACACACACACACACACACACACACACACAAATATATTTGTCCTAATATATCTTATTTTATATTATATTTTTTTGAGATGGAGTCTCACTCTGTCACCTAGGCTGGAATGTATTGGCATGATTTTGGCTCACTGCAACTTCCGCCTCCCAGGCTCAGGTGATCCTCCCATCTCAGCTTCCCTATTAGCTGGGACTACAGATGCACACCACAACACTTGGCTAATTTTTTGTAATTTTGGTAGAGATGGGGTTCACCATGTTGTCCAGGCTGGTCTCAAACTCCTGAGCTCAAGTGATCTATCTGCCTTGGCCTCCCAAAGTGTTGGGATTACAGGCATGAGCCACAGCACGCAGCCTCAATATGTTAAATCTACATTTGGTGAAATTGGAATGGCTAAATGTTCCACATTTTTAAGGAAAATTATCTTAGTAGAGGATCACATTGCTTGCTGAGGACACATTAACCTGATGATTTCAAAAAATATGGTTTGGGTCTGGCATCACATTTCAAGATCAAAAATACAAACCTCAGTTACCTAGTAAGTGAAAGATCTACAATGATAACTGTTAAGAAAGTGGTTCAGGAATATGAGTAGGATTTTAAACATTTAAACTTAGACTTGTTTGTCTCCTACCCTAAGAAGAGAACTATTTTTATGGAGGGAGCAAAAAAATCCAGATGATTTAATGGCAAATGTTTTTGTAAATTGAAGAATAAGGGTGTCTTCTGCCAAAAGTAGTCATTTCAGAAATGCAGTTAGGGACTATACTTCACATATCAACTCTGCTCCTTGACCATCTTCACAGAAGCCCTTGTATGTTTTCCTCCAGGACCATTCCTAATTAATGCCTTATGGCTATTTGAGCTTTTTCTGCCTTTTCAGGAAAAAGTTTGTTCTGGTTTATGTCAAGCCTTGCCCAGCCTCATTGATATGGTTTGGAACTGTGTCCCCACCAAATCTCATGTAAAACTGTAATCCTGAATGTCGGAGGTGAGGCTGGTAGGGGCTGATTGGATCATGGAGGCAGTTTCTCAAGGCATAACACCATCCCCCTTGGTGCTGTCATCATGATAGTGAAGTCGCATGAGATTTGGTTGTTTAAAAGTGTGTGGTACCTCTCCACTATGTCTCTCTTCCTTCTTCTCTGGCCATGTGAAGTGCTTGCTCACCCTTGCTTTCTGCCATGATTGTAAGTTTCCTGAGGCCTCTCCAGAAGCTGAGCAGATGCCAGCATCATGCTTCCTGTACAGCCTATGGAACTGTGAGCCAATTAAACACCTTTAAAAAAAATAATAAATTACGTAATCTTCTATTCTTTATAGCAATGCAAGAATGGACTAACACACTCATCTAGCTCGTTTTCCAGCTAACAGGTTTATTTTTGGCCCAAGGAGGCAGGAGAAGAGGGGGAGGTGCTCAGAGAGGGCTCAATAAACATAACCATTTAGGAAACAGCTGGGTAAACTGATTCCACCAAAGATGATAGGTTTCTATACTTTCTTGTATAGGCTCAGTGTGACTCTTTAACTTAATCAAAATTTCACAGTTTAAACATTAATTTTATGTTTCTTTCTGTTTCTATCACATGCTTTACAGATAATCCATTTTAAAGCAAGAAAACAAGATAATTCAAGGTAAAATTCAAAGAGGAAAGGGTGAGAGTCCGTGAAAGGTTTTTCCTTTACCATCTCCCACTTAGAGCTAATTTATATTTGACGAAGTAATGTTTCTATGTATATATTCCAGGTAGCAGATTACTCTTGTGGATAAATAGGGAATATCTCTTTCTCTTCCCAAGGGAAAATTGCATGACTCTAAATTTGGAAACCAGACAGGATCTGCCAATATGGGGCAGAATAGTTAAAAAAGAGGATGGATTTTGATTTCAGAAAATTTAGAAGAAAATGGATTTCTCAGGCAACTAAAAGAACATATCTGGATCTGTTAAGGCTAAAGGAGGCTTCAAGAGAAATGGACTTTGTGTTGGACAGACTACCTGAGACAGGGAAAAACCCCTTCTGAATGATTAGGGACAAATCAGTTAGCTGGCTTGAGTTTCACCTTCTTCCTCTGCAAAATTTAGTGATTAGACTGGCCCAGCAAAAGATTTAATACACATAAATAGGAATGAATCTGCATTTTTCCAAGCCTGATGAATTTTTAAAAACTGAATTAAGTCACTAATTGGCAGCCTGAAGATGAAAGAACTCAGTCATGCTTCTTAAGGTAAAAGGGCAGTCTAACTGAGAATTTCCTTATCTCTGAGGACAAATTATAAGGAGATAAAGCCACTCAAGATCACATGGAAGGCTTCTGCTCCCACTTTGAGACTGCAATGTAAGGAATGGAAACAGAATATTCTCTATAGAAACATAAACGTTAAAATATAAAACGTATAGGTGTTAAATAAATGCCACAGTTTATTATAAGAAACTTTTTCACATTTCAACATCTCTGAAATGTGGATAAAATTATTTTATTATGTTTATTTTTGAGATGGAGTTTTGCTCTTATTGCCCAGGTTATAGCCCAATGGCACAATCTCAGCTCACTGCAACTTCTACCTCTCGGGTTCAAGCCATTTTCCTACCTCAGTCTCTCCAGTAGCTGGGATTACAGGCGCCCACCACCATGCCTGGCTAATTTTTGTATTTTTAGTAGAGACGGGGTTTCACCTTGTCAGCCAGGCTGGTCTCAAACTCCTGACCTCAGGTGATCCACCCACCTCGGCCTCCCAAAGTGCTGGAATTACAGGCGTGAGCCACCACGCTCAACCCTGAAATGTGAATAAAATTTTAAATGAATGGCTTGTTGTTTAATTGGCAGCATCTTTTTTCTTGGCACTACTTAAAGTAATGGTACAAGTTATGATGGTATCTTAGGTTTGATTAAGTATTTCATCGAATTATGAAGTATTTGATGAACTGTCTTTAATAGGGACATCATATATGTTTAAATATTTGTGAATTATCTTAAGATAAGCTAGAAAATGGTAAAGAAACATTCCTGAGAATGTCTGGTCTTGTGAGCAAAAAGGAAAAGCATTGTTAGGAGGAAGTTCTCAGGTAAAGACAATGAGCTTAATGACATCATCAGTGACTTAGGTCTGGCATCTAACTTAGCTATGTCTCTCCTGTCTCACTTCCTAACCTCAGAAAGCTGTGTCTAGTCAGCTTCAGTCCCTTCATATTGTGCTAGAATTCAATGACATACTGCAACCCCTGGAAAAGATTCACTTAACATTAATAATGTACTTAATAACAGATATAACATGTTTTCTAGGCAATATATTTATCCAAGTTTGACTGTAAAAGATCTTACACTTTTAAAAGGGCTATAACCCCATAAGATCCATATAAAGTAAATGTATTTTTAAAAACTTAACTAAAGCATTTTTGTCACCCTATTTATATCAGCCCAAAACAGCATCAGTTCTTCAATAAGGGCTTCAGAGATCTTAAGTTGAACGAACAAAGTAGCCAATTAGTACAATGGAAGATTTAAACCCAAAACTTATTTTTTTAAAAAGATGAATATATATACACACACATATCATATGTAGATAAGGTATGTAGATAAGGCTTGGAAGGGTGTGTCAAAAGTGGTTACTCTGGAATGAAAACTATCTGAGTTCGTTTTGCCTCATCTGTGTTTCTAAATTTTGCCACAGTAAGCATATATTGCATTTGCAGTCACTTTAGAAAGCAATAAGTATGATAGCATTCCCCGCTTTTTTTTTTTTTTTTTACAAATAGCGGGTATTGTAAGGCACAGCTGGCATAGTTAAGGATGTATCTTCAAGGATGCATTGGCTTAATTTTTTTCCTACAAAGTTATAGGCAACATCTCTCCAGCCACAAAGCCCAATTTAGAGTTAGCTGTACATAAGACAGTGGGGGCCTACAAGCTAATGTAGAGGAATAAGTCTTCCCTCCCTGTTGATAGAGATGGTGACTTCTACACATTTCTATGTGTTGACAATATATGCATACACTTGCAATTTGCCTTCTCTGGCCAGGCCACAGAAGACAGCAATTCACTTAAATGAATAATTTTCTTTTTCTTCTTTGTTTCAGAAATAAATGCACCTAACAGTTTTATTTATAATACCCCAGAACTGGAAAGAAGCCAAATGTCCATCAGTAGGTGAATGTATAAACAAATTGTGGACTATACATACAATAAAATTCTACTCAGGAATAAAAAGGAATAGACTACTGGTACAAGTAACAAGAAAATGCATAATTTTCTTGACCTGGGTTTTCTTCAAAATGCTGGAGCTTTAGAGTCTTTTATTTATTTGATGTCACTTCAACTTGTCAAAGGATAAAACCCTTTTAGTACAGGCTTTTCTCCTACCATTACCACATTTATGCCAAACTTAAAATATTGGTAAGCCTATTTGAAAATCAGTTGTGGAATAAATAAAATGTCCTCTTTTGCCTAGCTATTAGCAGAATTTTAGGATGCTATGCCTCCTTTACAACCATGTATTTGGGAGAAAATTATATTTCTGCTTTTTATATTATTCATAAATAAAAATCAATATTTTTAAGGTTCTTTGTTTCTTCAAATCATGTTATTAACATTTATTGAAATATAGCTCTTTCTTCTTTTTTTTTTTTTTTTTTTTTGAGACGGAGTTTCACTCTTGTTACCCAGGCTGGAGTGCACTGGCCCGATCTCGGCTCTCCGCAACCTCCGCCTCCTGGGTTCAGGCAATTCTCCTGCCTCAGCCTCCTGAGTAGCTGGGACTACAGGCACGCACCACCATGCCCAGCTAATTGTTTGTAGTTTTAGTAGAGACAGAGTTTCACCATGTTGACCAGGATGGTCTTGATCTCTTTACCTCATGATCCACCCGCCTCGGCCTCCCAAAGTGCTGGGATTACAGGCTTGAGCCACCGCGCCCAGCAGCTCTTTCTTCTTTTATCTTAGGTGTATAATCTCATCAACTTTGCAGGAAAAACAGATACCCTTAGGGTCTGAATTGGTGTTTGAATAGATAGGCTCACTTTTAGTCCATGCCTCATAGTATTACATTATTGTTTAGGAAGAGATAGCAGGCTATATCTTATAAATTTTAATATACTCTTTCTGTCATCGAATAACACAGAATTATCCCTGATAAATAATAGGATTCATATACAATTGTGGATGATGTCTAGCTACTCTATTTCTGCCAAAAGGAGAACACAGATCAACATTATTCCATGGCCAGCATTTCAGTGACTTTAGAAACTTACATGCAGTTAGCACCTCTTCACATATTGCTCAGAAAGCATATTCTCCAGTGATTTCAGAGGGAGAACAAGAGGGACTCCAAAGGAGAATTTACTGGATGTTTGTGAAATTTGGGGCAATAGAGCCTCTCAAAGTTTCCTCCCAGGCAAAAGAAAGATGATTAATTCCTTATTCACAGGTTGGTTGTAACTATAAAATGGGATGATGCAGTTAGATAAAAAGTTTGTGAAGCACTATGTTGGTATTACTACTATTGCATAAAGATGAACAGTGAGCACAGTAGGCCAGACCTTATTAAATTCAGTGCTTTAGATGGTGCGTTAGCACACAGAGTAGCCAGGGAGTAGGCTCTGGAGAGGGGTACAGAGGGGACAGGCTGAACAGTATTGACCCTGGCATTACAACACCCACTGCCAGAATTTCCTGGTTTGCAGTACCATTCATGTTTGTTCAAGGTAAAGGGCACACTCTGCCTCTCTCATAGCAAAGGGATCCTCCTCTGGCAAAGGTGCTGATGTCACTGAGGTCACACAATTTAGTAACAGTAAACATGGGCGTATTAATGGAAAGGAGTAGGTTAACATTCTCTTGAGGGAGTTCAAGGAAGCTTTTCCAACTGAGAATTGAGGTGGGTGGAGAAATAAGAGTTAAACAGTGAATGGGCATTAACTAAATATACCACAACAAAGTCTGGCCAGATAAAATATAGATGAACTATCCCTCTCTCCACATGCACACCTAACACCTGTTAACATGGCAATTGTGCACCGCAAGTGAGAGAGTTAATGATAACTGATTAGATGATTCCACTGTCCCTGGGTAGGAAGATGCCTGGTAGCTGAAAAGCTCTGCTCTGTTTTCTGTTAGCAGAGATTCTACTACCATCATCTTATTTTGCAGCAATAGAGACAAAGGGGATTTTCCTGAGCAGCATCAGTAACAAAGAAATGAGTCAAATCATTAAGAAACTGATGGGCATTCACTGAAGAGCAACAAATATGATGTATATGTCTAAAGGGACTGCCTTCAGAGGGCAGATGAAAGAGACAAGTCTCCTAGCATGACCACACGGCACTAACGGGACTGGCTCATCAGCCACAAGTACTTGAAGGGTGTAAATAGCGGGGACAGAGAGAAATTATTTAGTGTCCAAGGGGACAGCAGGAGGAGTGATGGAAATAAAAGTCAAAACACAGATGATTTAGGCGGCTGAATAAGTCACATGCCCGAACAGAGAGATCTATTATAGGCTGTACAGCATCACCCCTTGGGAACGGTGGAAACCCCATCACTTGCGCCATTTACAATTGGAAAAGGCATTAAAAAGTAGATTAGCATGTTAGAGAGGGAAAAAACACCACATACCCTCAGAGAGTCAGTGGCATGACTTAATAGGTCTTTTCCATCTCAAATTACTGTGATGTATTTTGTATGCTTGGGGACCTGAGTTGCTAGACTAATTTTTCCATCCTTTGGGCTTCTTTACTCTTACTACAAGGCCTCCATGAAGAAATGATAATGGGACATGGAATGCAGTTTCTGCATTGTATACAGAAGCCCACAGTGTACTCATGCTTTAGCATGAAGGCAGAACTGACTACAATCAGTTTCAAATTGTGATGTCAGTGTAAATAAATACAAACACAATACCAATCAAGTCCCAAAACAACATACATATATTGATTGAGACCTAAGGCAGAGGGAAAGGACCTTTGTCACAGTTAGATGGTGGCTGAACAAATGAAAATTCAAATAGTTTATTCTCTCATCTAGAAAAATACATGTCTAAATACTTAAAGTCTATCTTTAAAAAAAAAATAAGAAAAAAAATTGGCCTTAAAATTATCAAGAAACATTGACTGTGTAGGAACTTTAGGACCCACATTTTGAATGTGTGCTGTATTTCTTTCCACAGCTGCAGTCGTAATTAGCAACTGACACATTCTGAAACCTGTGGTGGCCCAGAAGAACACACATGTGCACAGGCTGTGCCAACCTGGGGCAATAACTGCAACTGAAAGGAACGGGCACAGCTTGGTCAGATGGAAACTGGGGCAGGCAGAGAAGGGCTCATGTTACTGTGATTACTAGAAGGAGCACAGCTGTGACCATCTCAACCCTTCTCAGCCAGAGGATGACACGGAAGCAGGGGACAAAAATGGTAAAAGGGTCACAGGAGGGAGAGGCAGCAAGAAAGAAAGCGAAAGAATCCAGAGAGGGAAACTCACAGATGCAAGCTCTTTGCAGGTGGAGAATATCACAGCTCCTGAGAAAAATACTGTATGTGGTTGAGCATAAGTGAAACTTAGCATTCTAGAAGACTGAAGTTTGCAACAAACAAATTCAGGGTTTGACCTACACCTGACAGATATAGGTCAACCCTCATCCTGCTGCTCTCAGCAGCTGTAGCCAATAGGAGACAGCGCTGCCCAGCATGCTGGTTTAAGCTGCTGCTAATAGAGGGAAATCAACCTAACCCCATATTTCCTGCCTCTGTAGTCCTCACTTGTCTATTCATCACCAACTCAGGCGCAGGCAGAGCTGCTGGCTTGGTGTAACTGCTGGATGACTGATAAATGGAATCTGGTGATAGCATATATATTCCCATCTCATCTAGCTAAAAAAAATTGTTGTAAAGTCTTTTAAGGGAGGACTATTAAAATGCAATATTCCCTCATTAATGTAAATGCTTTCCTAAATTCATACAACCAGAAGAGACTTACTAATTCTTCACACCAACAGAACTTAAGAGATGTTTAGAGAGAGGAAATTCTGTGACAGAGGCGTGTTTTTGAAAGGATACAGCAGAGGTTAAGTGACTTATCCCATGTTACTTAGTGGTGATGGTTAAGGCAGAAAGAGAACTGAGAGAGTGGTCTGAGAGTAAGTGTGGAAATTATGAAATTAAATCTAAAGAAAGAACATTATCACCAAATCATGTTGCGTTAAATATCTATTGGAAATCCCAGTTCAGTAACACACATTCCTTTATCCTACATGTTCAGACTCATGTTAAAAGTGAGTTCATATATTTCCTAGGCTCATGTTTTTTAAAAAAATGTTCAACCATTCTCCTCAATGAACATGACATTAATTCAAGCTAAGTCCAGTCAGATGGCCTCAACTTTATTCACTAAAGAAGCCAGTAGGCAAGTGCCTAGTGAGGTAAATTAGAGGTTTAATTAGAAGAACAAACAATAAATGCTAAATGTTCTGTTGCAACTATGTAACTTTCTGTGGGATTTTATGCCTTGTATCTTTTTTTCCTGAATTCCAGGCCAATGGGGCTGCACTAGAGCCTCAGAAGCAGATAATTCCATAACTCAGACTCTTTGATTCAGATAGTTTCTTTTCATACCTTGAGAGAGCAAATAAATCCCCTTTCACCACCTCTCAAATTTCTAGAGGATATTCTTGACTTTTCTTTTCATGCCTTGAGAGAGCAAATAAAACTACTTTTACCACCTTTCAAGCTTCTAGAGGATATTCTTGACTGGAATTTGTCCATGTTCTGAAATAACAGGTTACTTTGCGTTCTTTGTGTTTAAATAAATGTAATTAGGCCTGTTTAAAAAAAACTATGGAAAATATTAAAAAGAAAATAAAAATCATCTATAAACTTACTACCCAGTGGCAACCACATGAACATTTTTGTGTTTCCTTCTTATTTCTACACACATATACTTTCCAAAATTTGTCATAAATGTTTTAAAGGTGTTTCATATATTGCCAAAATGCCCTCCAGAAAAGTTAAATCAATTTATATCCATTTTCAGTGAGTGGTATAATTTTTTAAAAGCCAGCTTTAAATTTGAGAGTTGAAAAATGATGCCTCACAGCTGTTTTTATTTTCTTCTATCTTCCTCATTCTTAAAGTTGGCCATTTCTTTCCTATGGTTATGGTCAATTACAGTGGACATTGTATTTCACTCCTCAACAACAATGCAGTTTCTGGAATTGACCCCGGCTCTAGGAATGAGTCCTGATTACCGTTAAACCAAGCATAGTAATCCAATCTCTTCTGCTAGTGAAAGGTTTGCAATCAAAACATGGCATTCCTCTGACAGGAGATTTGATCCAGGTTGGTCCTAAACTGAGTCAAAAAGGCTGAGAAGGAGCACTTGTATTTTGTTGCTAGAAAAGAGATTCTAAAGCCAGGCGTGGTGGCTTACGCCTATAATCCCAGCACTTTGGGAGGCCGAGGTGGGTGGATCATTTGAGGTCAGGAATTCGAGACCAGCCTGGTCAACACGGTGAAACCCTGCCTCTAACAAAAATAAAACAATAAACTGGGCATGTTGGTGGGTGCCTGTAGTTCCAGCCACTCAGGAGGTGGAGGCAGGAGAATTGCTTGAACCCAGAAGGTAGAGGTTGCAGTGAGCAGAGAACACGCCACTGCATTCCAGTTTGGGTGAGAGTGAGACTCTGTCTCAAAAAAAGAAAAAAAGAGAGAGAGAGATTCTACTTCTATTCTGATGAATGTGAACAGGAAAGTCTATATGCCCCACATTGCTGCTAGGTGTTATCTTGTGATCGTCAGAGACATCAACATGACTTTCTGGTTACATGCAAAAATATATTATTTCCTTAGTGTTTAGGTTAGTTTTATTTGGGGTTCAATTTTTACAGTGAGAAGCAGTCAGAACGCTTTTTCTTTATGGGATTTTTTTTTTTGGAGTTTTTTAATTTTGCTTTTTCCAATTCCTATTAGGCATTATCAGTAATTTTATTGTTGATGTGGTAAGAATTCTATTGAAGATATAATCTTTTTTGTCTGTATGTTATGATTATGTCTCCAAGTTTATCACTTGTTCATTATTTGCTATGTACCATTATTTAATGCAGAGAACAGAGTCTCAATGTAATTAAACATACCAGTATTTTTCTATGTAATACATTCTATTGCTTTTACTGTTATTCATTCACTAGTGTGTGTGTGTGTGTGTGTGTGTGTGTGTGTGTGTGTGCGCGAGCGCGCGCGCGCATGTGTGTGTAGCAACCACAAGGTGCCAGGCTATAAGAATACACAAGTGAGCCAAAAAAGTTACAGTCCCCAGTTTATATCCTACTGGGGGGATTGAGGGTAAGGCAGATATTAAGCTGAAAAGCCACACAAATGAGTGTGAGCTGCCAGTGGATAGATCCTACGAAAAGAAGGTACCCAATATGTGAGAGCTCTAATAGGAAAATTAGGCCTAATTAAGGAAATCAGGGAAGCTTCCCTGGGGAAATGGTGATTGAACTATGGATGATCAAATGGAGTTAGGTAGCTGGGTAAGGGCATTACAGGTAGTGGGAACCACAGGTGCAAAGGTCCTGCTCAGGAATAAGCACGAGAAATATGAGGGACGAAAGAAAGTAAATGTCACCAGATCCTGAGAGGGCCTTGGTTTAAGATGAAGCTGGAAAGGTTGAGAGGTTGGAGGATGGAGCTAGGAGAAGATGACTATGCAGGGTTAATAAGTTCGTGTTAAAGAGTTCTGCCCCCTTCCTGAAATCTATGGTGTCATCTTTGACAACCATATTATTTTCACCCCCAACATCCAATTCTATCAAACCCCCAAATCCTATTGATTTTGCTTTCTTTTTTTTTTTTTTGAGACAGAGTTTCGCTCTTGTTACCCAGGCTGGAGTGCAATGGTTTGATCTTGGCCCACCGCAACCTCCGCCTCCTGGGTTCAAGCAATTCTCCAGCCTCAGCCTCCCAAGTAGCTGGGACTACAGGCGCGTGCCACCATGCCCAGCTAATTTTTGTATTTTTAGTAGAGACGGGGTTTCACCATGTTGACCAGGATGGTCTTGATCTCTTGACCTTGTGATCCACCCACTTCGGCCTCCCAAAGTGCTGGGATTATAGGCGTGGCCACCGTGCCCGGCCTGATTTTGCTTTCTAACTATCTCTTCAATCTATCAACTTTAATCTGTCCATTTCCCTTCATATTTACCAACACTGCTTTAGTCCCTTCTGTCATCACTTCTGTGATCTATTAGCTCCTACTGTTTCCCCAGTCCACTCCATTCCTACATGGTAATGAGAATTCAGACCTGACATTGATACCATTTGATGACATAAGATAGCACTAGGAGATCTAATGTATAACAGGAGGGCTCCACTAAATAATATTGCACTGTACTTGAGGTTTTCCCTAAAAGTGTAGATTTTAGGTGCTCTTGTCACGCACAAAAAATGAGTAATTAATTATATGAGATAATGGATATGTTGATTTGCTTGACTACAGTAACCTTTTCACTTTCTATATGTAAATCAAAACATCATGTTGTACAACTGAAATGTATACAATAAAATTTTAAAAATAAGAAATGCAAGAAAATAAACTTAACAAAAAGGAAAGAAAACACTGAGAAAGGACCAGTTTGGATTTCTGTTAGTTTGTTTTTCAAGAGGAGAGGGTAAGCAGTGGGCAGTTCATGAGCTCAATTTTGGACCCGTTGAGTTTGAAATGCTCTTGGGAGGTCATGGAGAAGAAGCCAGTAGGAGGGGAATGCTAGGTGGGGATCTTCTGCTTTCCCACAGAGTCACTCTCCACCTTTCTCAGTTCTGCTGTGTCCAGAGAGACTGACCTGTATGAAATGTATCCTCAGCGCCTAGTTCCCATGTTCTCTGGCTTCTAGTTAGCTTCAGCCAATGGGAGGTAGAAGCAGAAGACTGAAGGAAGGCTGATTATTTATTCCACATTATGTCCATACCGCATTCTCTCTTGCCCTTCCTTCTCCTGCCCCTCTTCCCCACCTTCTCCTACTTCTACCGCTCCTTTGCCACCTCCTCCTCCCTCTGTCTCTCTCATTGAGTCATCATTTCCACCTCCTTCCTCGTTGAAGCTTAAGGCAGTAATGTTCCCTAAGACACTGTACCATTATCCTTTGTTGCTTTCCCTAAACCCTTTGTAAATGATCTCTTAACTAAAGTCTTCTTAATTAGCCATTTGGAATGTGCCATACGTTTCCTGCATGGATCCTGACAGTTACTGAAAAGCTGGAAATGGCTAGGCTGGAGTTGAATCACCTGACTGGAAGCGGTAACTGGAGCCATGGGTATGATGAGAATCCTTGGGAGACAGTGTAGAGAAGGAATGGGCCCAGAGGAACTCAAACATATAATGGTCTCCAGAGAAGGATAATCCTGCAAAGTCACTGGAGAAGTAGTGGCCAAAGTGGTAAGAGAAAAATTAGGGAAGTGTTATGAAAGGCAAAGGAAGCAAAGGGAATAAAAAGAGGGTTCGCAGTCAAGACTATCAATTGGTCCTACATTCATTGGATTTAGTGATTTACCACATCCTGACTCTGTTACATATTTTCTGTGTTCCCTTGTAGTTTATAATGCTTTTAATTTTTTACATTCCTTTAACTTACCTATAATTTATTTTGGAATACAGTTTAAAGTAAAAATTTATCCTTCTTTAGCCATTATTCCAACATCATTTACTAAATGATTCATCACTTTCTCTGTTACAATTACTTCATCATATACTGTTTTTAAAACTACAGAGATGCCTAAGCACTTTGTATTAGATGTTTAAGAGCTTCTTATTTAACTATAATTGTGGAAAGGGTTGTCAGCTTCATATGTTTTAATATCCTTTTGAGCAAGTCTAACTTCTTATTTCTTAATTTTTAGAATTCTATTATTAATAGTCCCATTTATTCTTCCAGATGAACTTTAGAACCATTTTACCAATTTTTAAAAATTCCACTGGGATTTTTTTTTTTTTTTTTTTTTTTGAGATGGAGTTTCACTCTTGTTGCCCAGGCTGGAGTGCAGTGATACGATCTCGGCCCACTGCAACCTCTGCCTCTCCTCCTGGGTTCAAGCAATTCTCCTACCTCAGCCTCCCTAGTAGCTAGGATTACAGGCATGCACCACCACACCCAACTAATTTTTTGTATTTTTAGTAGACGGGGTTTCACCACATTGGCCAGGCTGGTCTCAAACTCCTGACCTCAGGTGATCCACATGCCTCAGCCTCCCAAAGTGCTGGGATTGCAAGCATGAACCATTGTGTCCGGCTGTTTGGGATTGTTTTCTCTCTT